TTTTTTTCTTCTTTTTTGTAAATACAGAGCCTTGTCCTAGTTTGGAGCACATTCACAAACTTATCTGCAATTTCAACGCTCTGGTGCTGCTGTTTACCACCATCATCATGGTCCCTGAAAGGCCCCGGGGGGTTGGAAAGTGAGCCAGTGAAGAGGACTTTTTCCATGACTCCCGCTGAAGTGCATGCTACTTATCACAGGCTGTAGTTAAAGAGTGCCAAGCATGGAGAAGGAAGAAGTCAGGGTTAACGGTGACGAACAGAGAAGATCGGAATGGGGTCACATCGCCCTCTTGGATAAGACCAGGGAGTTCTTTCAGACCTGCGACATGGAGGGAAAAGGCTTCATTACCCGCACTGATATGAGGGTTAGATTTAAAAGCTGTTTGTTTGATTTTTAACAATGTGACATACTTTTTTTTTTTTAATCTCTGAAAAATACTGATAAACTGGTGTATTAAAAGCCTTTTAATCTATATTTATACTTTCTGGGCAAAGTATTCATAAACCTCAAGCACTTTGACAATTTCTTCAACAGATATCAATCCATTTTATTTAGAATTCATATTAAAGACCAATGCAAAATGCAATATATGTTTAAATTGGTTGGAAAATTTGTATTTTTAAATTTTGCACAGAAAATAGACCAGTTTAGGTACATTTACGTGTAACTCAATTATACTTTAATTAGCTTAAATAAGCCCTTTACCCATCTGTGAATGTCAGGGTTCAGTCTAATCAAAGTTTATAGTTGGTTTGAGCTCTAGATTTTGATTAGGTCATTCTAACAAATGAAAATAGTGCTATTTAAACCATTCTGTTACAGCTCTAACTATGTTTAGGCTGGTGCTTGTGAGATGAACCTACAACCCTACCTTAAGATCTTTGGAGCCTCAGGTTTCTTTCTTAAATTCGCCTCCACAGCTGGATGCTGCCACTTAAGGAAGTTAATAGTTTTTCTCAGTAGAAAGCGTTTTGTATTTTGGCCAGCCTCATTTTTCCCTAAATGGACTAAAGTACTATTGTCCATTTTTGCTGTGTTTCCTAAATGGCTTGTGAAAAGCTTTAAATGAGGCTTTTAGAGCTGAGTTTGTGCACAACATGTCTGTTTAGAAGTTAGTAAATCTGAAGGAAGTTTTACAAAATCATAACAAAAAAATTTATTTTGCTTATGCAGTACTTTGAGCTCGAAATCTAATCTCACAAATGAACTGAAGTGTGTGGTGGTAACATGATAAAGGTTAAGGTTGTGTGAATAACTGCAATGCACAGTGTTTTTAACAGATTACTATTTTTTTTTCTCCATTATTTTCTAGACAGTAATTTTTTCAGAGGTGTTTAAAAAAGCCTGGATCCATAAAACTGCTAAAATGAACAATAGGTGATGTGTTAATGCTTTTATCTGTGGCACAGTTAATTCTCCTCTCTGCATTAATAATAGCGAATAAGAAGCAGGAGTCACTTTGCTGCACCTGACTTTGCTCTGTTCCACATTCTTTCTCCCATTTGAATAACACAGATTCCCCTCTTAGTGCACTTAAAGAGCCCGAAAAGTGCTGGAAGCACTGATGGAAAAAGTTTGAGTATAATTAAGCTCAGTCACACAATTACATCGTTTAATATGCAGAATCATTGCCTCCAATTGCCATTTAAAAATGAAAAGTGTCTTAGCTGAGTGGTCTGGATTCTGAAATATTGGCTTAATGCAGTATGCATTCAAAGTTTCTAGAAACAGTGTTTTAGGAGGAAACATGGAGCTGCCATCGGTTGTTATATAGATTTCAAATCTGCCTGCACAACATTCACAGGCAGAATGCTTTATAACAGCAAAACACTAACCGCCAGCATGTTGAACTGTGGTTTGTTTATATTGCTCTCACAACAGAGGCTCCACAGAGAGCTGCCTCTTTCTGCTGAGGAGCTTGAGGATGTGTTTGATTCCCTGGATACAGACGGAGCTGGTTACCTCACGCTGGAGGCATTTTCCTCCAGATTCAGTAAGTTTCCTGCCATCAGAAACCTAACCTTCAGTCCAAAGAAAGATTTACACTCTCATAAAACCCAGAGCAGATGAATCAACCGTGTCGCCAAATTGAATGAAAGCTGTGAAATGTATCATTTACAGTTGTTTATGGAGAAATATCCATATAATTTCATTTTATTTTGAATCATATGATTGTCTTAGCACCATAAAACCAAACTGCCTGCAAAATTAAATACAAGTTAATATTTTGATAAAGTGTATCTTTAGTTGTAACAAACAAATTACTATGTAGTCAGGGAGTCTATCTAAAATCAAACCTGATAAAAAATAAATAGTTACCGGATTTTAACTTAGATAAAGGTGTCAATCTGATTATTTGACACTTAAAAGCACTTTTAGAGAATAAATATGCATGTAGTAGTCACGAGAAGTAAAATCAAATTACCACAACTATATCTTTTCAGCTGTATTATTAACACAAACAAGGCCAAATCATAAAAAAAATGTTCACCATACACAAAATCAGTCTTCTCCTTTAGCCAACAGACACAACCTGAACAGAAAAGCTGAAGAGATGAGAATTAGAGAGAGAATCCAGGACAATGGATGATTTAGAGAAATTTTAGAAATGGAAATGCTCAAAGATCCCTCTCTTTTTAGTTCAAAAATTAAGAAATGTTGAATACATTGTCAAAAGCTACAGAATGTTGACTGTATGGCTTGTGACCCTGGAAATTTCAAGTTTTTATATTATAGTAATGATCACAGCGTCTTATTTTCTCTTCATGTTGCCCCTCTCTTTTTTTTTTATTCCTTCATTTATTTATTTCGACTATATCCCACTGTAGAGAGTCCTAACTTCTTCCAGTTGTTTGTCTTCAACCCTGGATTTAAATAAACATATATTTTTCAGTTAGTCCAACAATAACTTTTTTAGTTTGCTAAAAACACCACACACCTAAAGCATCATTTTCCACATAAGCTGTGTGTTTCCATTTTGGATGATTGAACATAGTTGGTCATCCAACACAGAGTGGTTCCTCCATATGCAAGCTGCAGCAATCTGGGTAGATCTTCGAAGAAACAACAAACTTCACATTGTGTTTAAGAATAATGAACTTAAATGGACAATGCAGTAAAAAAGGCAAGCAATGTCATCTTAGTGCATGTAACAAAACATAAAAATGTGCAGGAAGAATTGCTTTAAAAAAGCAGTGATCCCCACTACTGACGCTGCAATCAGAATTACAGTTCCTCATTTGAGAACTTAATTAATGACAGAATCTAAGCATTTAATTTCTAAAATCAGATAAAATTATTTTAATATCAAAGAAGTTCATAACAGTCCTCGATCTTTAAGAAGTGTTTCAGTGATACATTAACCACAAAGACAAACACATTCTGCACGCATGCATTTCCGTTCAAACCTAAAATCCAACCTTTTTTACGGACTTCAGGTCAGTTCCTGCACGGTCGCAGAATCTCTGTCAGTGATGACCAGACTCAGAGCCCAGGACCTGTCTTTAAGGCCAAGGAGGCTCTGTATCAGAGTCATTGGGAGGCCAAGCTGTCAGGGGTAGAGGATGAAGAGGAGAGGCACTTCTGTATGTTGCTGGAAAGTCTTGGAGCCAGTAATGTGTTTGAGGAGTAAGTTGTTGTTTTTTTCCCTCCTCTTTTGGTTGCTGTTTTGCAATTATTAACATATCAAATGATGTCAAAGTAAATTCAGCAAATCCCTGCTCCCCAGTCCAGGTGAGGTGCGCAGCCTTTGGGCTCAGCTAAGGCGAGACGAGCCTCACCTTCTGTCCAACTTTGAGGAATTTCTGGCCAGGGTAACATACCAAATAAAAGAGGCACACGAGGAGAAGAAGGAGATGGAAAGTGCCCTTCAGAGGTAAGAAGAGGTATTTCTTAATCACCGTTTTTTTTAAAGAATATAAAAAAAAGCTGGAGCTGTATTGCTACACTTGGTTCTCACTATAAATCTACAGCATTGTAAATGTGTTAAATGACCCATAATCTGAGTAGATTGAGGGTTAATCTGAGGGTTTGAACTGCAGA